TGTCCTGTTTTAACATTGGGTGGCTGTGAGTCTATTTAGATAGATAGATAGATAGATAGAGTGGATAGATAGAAATAGATAGATAATATAGATAGATAGATAGATAGACTTTATTAATCCCCGAAGGCAAATTAGGTCGTCATAGCAGCCAGGTACATTAAAATACAATAAAATACAACATAGAATAAAAAATACTAAGAATAGAACAGATAAATAAGAAAGGTAAGGTGCAAGGTGAGGTTAAGACTAAGTGTCTAAATAACAGGTAGAGACAGAGCTACACTTCCTCACCTCAGGCCCAAAATATAAATATTTAAGAGAGAAATAATTCTCACTTATAACAAAAAATATATCCTGACTTTGAATTTTTTTAAAAAAATCCCCTATTTACTGGTAGAAATGTGAAATTATTGCCGCAAAATGAATCTCATAATGCCATGATTTGAGAACAACAAGTGAAAACAACTAATCTTTAATCGTTGTTGCTTGTTTTACATAAGATACTGTAACAATAACATACATAAATAATAAATTATGATTACTATCAGTTATTATTATTTGTTTGAGCTCTCCACTTCCTCTTCCGGTGACTTTTGGCGCCCTCTACTGGACGGTTACCATAGCGACAACGTCTAAAAGATAAAAAAAAAAAAAACAACGACCGATCCTGGATCAGTCTCTGGAGGCGACATATGTTTCGTGGTCTCCTATTATTGGTCCAGACACACCGTCTTGTTGTCCAATGGCAGGCAGACATCTGTTCGCTGGAGCGACTCTAAAATACTCTCTTCTCTTCCTCCTCGACAAGGTATTCACGACCCAGCCACGGCGTTGCAAGCAGTGAAAAACAAGCAGAGTTGAGATGGGGAAAATGCCAGTTCTGGGTGTAATTGCGGTGCTGTTAGCAGTGTGCTGCGTAAATGCGACTGTTTACTTTCGGGAGGAGTTTCTGGACGGTGGTGAGTTAACGCTGAAGGTTTCTGACATGTTGTGGAGGTTAATTCATTGCACGTTAGCTTGACTGTTAGCCATTATTTTGTCACAGTTATGGTCTTGAGTTTCTCTTGAAAGCCTGTTTTCTTCCTGAAACGTGTTTTTTTTTTTTCAATTCAGTGGAAAATACTTCTCAGTTTTGTAACTTTAACTGGGTTGTTCGCTAGCTGTCTTTAGCAAGGGGCCCAAAGCTAGGAAACGGTAGTACCCATGTAGTACTCAAATACCACTGACACACAAGTTACACTGTAAATGATCAATAATAAACCAATAGCGTCGTTTTGACTGTTTCAAAGACTAATGTTAACTTTAATGGATGAACGGTTGGATGTGTTGGAAGTGTCCCAAGTGTAAAACATTAGAAAACTTAACATGTGTGTGTTTTTTTTTAACCCCTGTTCAGATGAGTGGAGGAGTCGCTGGGTGAACTCCAAACACAAATCTGACTATGGAGAGTGGAAGCTGACGGCTGGCAGTTTCTTTGGAGATGCTGAGAAAGACAAAGGTAAACTTTAAGTGAGAATCATCGTGTGGGTTGATCATGCTGTGTTCCTTTCATGGCTAAAAGAATTAATTAATATTTTAAAGATAGGAATGATCATTTGAGAACAGTAAATAAAACTGCATTCTTACTGCATTCTCTGTTTCCACGTTGTCTTAAACAGCTCTGAAACTATTTGATCCAGTCTAACTTGTAGTTCCCTCACGGTGAGCCAATGAGAACCTGTTCAGTTTACGGTCTGTCTTGCTAAACGCACCTTTCTTCCCTTTTTTTCAGGTCTGCAAACGAGCCAGGATGCTCGTTTCTACGCTTCCTCGGCCCGTTTTGAGCCTTTCAGCAACGAGGGCAAGCCTTTGGTCATTCAGTTTACAGTCAAGCATGAGCAAAAGATTGACTGTGGTGGTGGCTACGTGAAGGTCTTCCCTGCTGACATGGATCAGACTGAGATGCATGGAGAATCCTCATACTACATCATGTTCGGTGAGTGACGATGCTCATGCTACATTTAATTAATAAATAAATAATAATAAAAACAGTCATAACGGTTACAGCAACAGGCTTTGGAACATGCAGTCATTCAATTCATTTCACACAGGCCCTGATATCTGTGGCTACAGCACCAAGAAAGTCCATGTGATCTTCAATTACAAGGGCAAGAATCACCTCATCAAGAAAGAGATTAAGTGCAAGGTAATTATGACATTTTAAAATATAAATATTCAAACATGCACTACCTCTGCACCAGTGGCTTAATCCAAACACATCTGTTTTCTTCTAGGATGATGAGCTGACCCATTTGTACACACTGATCCTGAATCCAGATCAGACCTATGAGGTGAAGATTGATAATGAGAAGGTAGAATCTGGCAGTCTTGAGGATGACTGGGACTTCCTGCCTCCTAAGAAAATTAAGGACCCTGAAGCCAAGAAGCCCGAAGACTGGGATGACCGTGCCAAGATTGATGATGCTGACGACACTAAGCCTGAGGTGAATATGTTTACTAATATAATCAAGTAATAAAATGACTCAACCTCATTCTGCATAAATGTACTGACTAAAAGTGCTGTTGTGACCATGGAAAATGCAAACAAAAGGAGAAATGTTTTTCCATTTATTTCTCTCCCAGATTTCCACAGCAGTCCTGGGCTTTAAAGAGCTAAATTTACATTCACAATTCTGTTAACTAAACTTTAATCTTTGCATTGTTTGTTCTTCTTTAGGAGTGGGACAAACCTGAAAACATTCCAGACCCTGATGCCAAAAAGCCTGAAGACTGGGATGAGGATATGGATGGAGAGTGGGAGCCACCCATGATCCCCAACCCAGAGTACAAGGTAAAAAGTTCAATAGTCATGGCCAAAGCTGATGCTTTGTGTCATCTCCTCTGTATGAGAAATGCTTAACATTGACTGCTAATGCATTTGCAGCCTTAATAATACTTTCTGTATTGCAGGGAGAATGGAAACCCAAACAGATCGACAACCCCAACTACAAAGGAGCCTGGGTCCATCCTGAGATTGACAATCCTGAATACAGCCCTGATTCAAACATCTACAAGTTTGACAACATTGGTATTTTAGGTCTTGATCTTTGGCAGGTGAGCGAGAATATCATCTTTGAATAATGATGAGTTTTTTTTTTTCCCGTAGTGATGCTTGAATACAGCCTAACGTTTGTCACTGTTTATCTCAGGTGAAATCTGGTACCATCTTTGACAACTTCTTGATCGCAGACGACGTGAAGGAAGCAGAAGACATTGGAAATGAGACATGGGGTGTGACAAAGGTATGCTGGCGTTCTGTACAAGCCATATTTGGTCATTTGTACAACACATGAAACCGTTGCCAATAACAATATGAATAGATTTTAATTAATTATTCAAACTTGCACTACAGGAACCAGAAAAGAAAATGAAACAGGAGCAAGATGACCTGAAACGAAAAGAAGAGGAGGAGAAGAACAAGGAACAAGACACCGAAGCTGATGAAGAAGACGATGATGTCGATGATGATGGAGACGAAGACGTGGATGAGGAGGAAGACACGAAGGAAGACATGGAGGAGGCACTTTCAAAAATGGTTGACGAGGAAGCAATGGAGAAAGATGAGCTTTGAGGAGGTGCCAGAGATTTCGTCTGTCCCTCCTTTAGAAACTCTGTCCTTTATTTCCCAGGGGTATTGTGGCTGCTGTGCATCCTTTCCCTGAGACCTGGACACAACCCAACTTTGGGGGCAAAAGTAGTGTAGGGTGGCAAGTGGATGTTAATGGACTTAGTTTCTCTTTCATTTTGGTCATGATATTGCCCTGTTGCCCCAGACCTGCTGGGTTGATTCTTTCCATGTACAAAGTGCATTCCTAATTTTTGTAATAACAGAGAATAAGGAGGCACTGAGATCAGTTTTTTTTTCTTGATTTTTCTCGATCTACACATCTTTATTTGCAGATTTCCTTGCACAGGTTGGACAGTTTACCAGAAGCTGTGGTAAAAATTTCACATTGAGATTTGCAGAAAATAACGATTAGTCGTTTCCGATTTTAACCTCATTGTCTCGAAAGGAAATTTTCTGCCTGCTGAAACATAAAAAGCACATAAGTGAACATACAATGCACAAACCGTAAGACAAATCACAACGTACAGACAGAAA